AAAAGGACTGACATTTTCAGAAATACTGATAATTAAAAACTATTTTTTGTTTTTAGTGTTTTTAAAATACTCAAAATACCTTTTTTAAGAAATAAAGAAAGGAGGGAGGAAAGGAGGCAGACAGGCCTTTATGGCTTTGCACAGCCACCATGAGGTATGTGGTTAACGTCACTCTGTTTCTGTTATTTTCATTACTGTCCTCAGAAGGCAACAGGGCTATTGGGGTTAAAAGTCAGGGGCACCAAGCCAGGGTGACCTGCCTGTGATCCCCAGCCAGACAGTAAGCAAACCAGGACAGCTCCCTCAACTCCTAGCCTGTGACCTCCACAGGCCACCAGCCCCTGCCCATTCATTACTTCCTGAAGAGTAGGTAGCACCCTGCCCCTTAGTGCACGAGAACAGCCTTGGACCAGAGTGGTTAAGATAGATCTGAGAGAGAGGCAGGAGCCAGGAAACTGATTCACCAGGAATGTGCAGGCCAGGCCTTCCCAGAGCGCACCTTCTTCCCTGTGCTTTGCCCCTATCCAGGTGGACAGGCAGGTGCAGATGGCCCACACCAGATGCGGATGAGAAGGAAAGAGGGCTCCTGTAGGTCCCTGAAGGGCAGACTGCAAGCATCGTAAGCAGGTCTGGCTTTCCTGTGAAATTTCCCTCGGTGTCTGACAACTTCAGGGTGAGTGTGGAGGGTGGGCCATGGGGCAGGTGAGAACTCCAAATCTTCTTTAGGGAAGGAAATAGCAATCATAAGAGATTGGGCATCTTTCCCTCCGGGGGAACCTGACTCCATGTGTCAGTGGAAAAATAAAACACAGGGCCCTGGAGAGGCTCACCGTGGAGGTGAACACGAGGCTGGAGGCAGCGACCCTCTGAAAGTGGAGAATGGAAAGGATCCAGCGGCCCCAGAGGCCAACTATGCTAACACTGGAACCTCAGAAGCTAATCTCTGGACTGTGTAGCGATGCTTGAAGTGCTCAGGCAGATCCACGAATGAGTGTGGAGAGAATGTCACGTGGCAGGGGCTCAAATCATAAAACAAAAGAAAGGAAATATTTTACCTGTTTGCTTAGTGCCAGTGTTTTTCTGCCCTTGGTTAAGGAGCTTAGCTACCCAACCATTGTGTGAGCATCCTCTGTGGGTCTGGCCCCCATGGCCATGAGCAGGGGAAGGACACCCCCCACAAGGATGCAGGGAGCCCCCACAGTTCCCTGTCATACGCCCTTGTGCACACTCACTCTTGCCAGTAGAACAGAAGTAATGACACTGCCTCTACCTGGCTCATACAGGGACAGTCCCCAGAAAAGTACACACACAATGCATTCTTGAACCTGTGTGGCTTGGACAATTTTAGGCTGAAAGAAGAGTGACCAGGATAATCTCATGAATCCCTCCTTGTAGACCCCGCTCTTGAGAAACCTGTTCTGCTGAAAACATCACAACCTATTCCCAGGAGTGGGAACGGCAAGAAAGCTGAAGCCACGGACCAGCAGGCCAGATGGCCGATCTCCAGCCAGGACACGGAGACCAGGGCTCCCCCCGGGAGGACCCGCCAGTGTGGTCTAGTAAGAGCACCAGCACGAGCCAGGCACAGGACCAGCTCCACCGGGCTTTGCTGAGGGACCCGTGCAGGTCACCAAGTCTGGACTTCTTTCTCTTAGTAACCATAGCTGCAGAACCGGGCTTAGACCTGGGCATAAGCAGCTCCTTGGCCCATCTGGCCTCTTCTAGCCACAAGCCCTCTCCAGATTTCTTACCCAAAGAAACCCTAAGTAAATATTGGTTGTTTTATACCAATAAGTTTTAGGATAATCTGATATGCAGCAAAAGACACTAATACAGCGTGCGTATAACTATCCATGCAGCAAGTGTATATATAAAAAGGCCTGAAAGGACTCATGGCAAAATTTTAGGGAAAGTTGTCTGCAGGACCAAAAAGGCTTGTGGGGAAAAGCTCTAAAGACACTCATAGAAACGGGAGATTGTTCAGGGCAAACTGCTCTGTATGATACTATAATGTCGGATACATGTCATCACATATTTGTCCAAATCCACAGTACGTGCAGCACTGAGAGTGAACCCCCAAGGTCAACTACAGACTTTGGGTGATGATGATGTATTGATGCAGGTTCATCAGCTGTAACACATGTACCCCTCTGGCGGGGATGTTGGTGGCAGGGAGGCTCTGCGTATGGTGGGAGGTACACAGGAATTCTCTGTACTTTCCATTAAACTTTGCTGCTGTGAACCTAAAATTGCTCTAAAAATTGAGTCCTTTAATTAAGAGAGAGAGAAGGCACAGGAGGTTAGCAGCAAGGGGGAAATGGCCAAGTCATAACATCAGAGGAACAGAAGAGGGAAGGTCTGGACTTTTGCTGGGGACCTGCATTCTGGACAGTCTTCAGCTTCCAGCCGGTTCCTGGGCTCCCGTGCACAGATATCCTTGCTCCAGGCATCCTCATTCTCCCCTTTCTTTCTTTCCTCGAACAGGGGAAAGAGCATTTCCTGCCCAATGAAGGCAGCACACACTGTCGCTGGGCCCTGCTTTCTTCCGGGTCGTCCAGGGATCCTCAGCCCCAGCAGCAACATCTGGGCTACTTTCTTAAAGTATCAATATTTATGAGATGATGGTATCTTCATTGAGATTCCCTAGATACATCAATAATTAATACACATACTAAAAACCAGACATCGCCTCATCAGAGTGCTACCCGGAGCAGGCTCTGCTTCTCAGTAACCACACTCGTCTTCCCAAAACCACATCACTCTTCCGCCAAGAATATTCGAGATTCCCGCTCCCTTTCTTTTGTCCTCTTCCATGGTTTCATCTCTCTTGAATGATTTCAGGCACAGCCTGTTTTGTTCGGGGTCTAGAAAGCGTTAGAAAGAATACTCCAATGGGAGGACAGAATGGCCTCCCTCCTGCCTCCAGAGAGGCTGGAAGCCCACATGGGACAGAGGCTGTGTCAACAGTCCGCACGTCCTCATGTCCAGGGTCAGGACCGTCTTCACTCCCCACAACAGCAATTTCCAACCTTTGCCACCTTCCTTGTGCCTTCTCCACCCCCAATTCTCCTTCGACTTCAAAAAGAACCTCCTGTTTCAGAAAATAATGGAAATTGTCATACAACACCCTCAGCAGGTTAGAAACTTCAGTGATCATTTTGTCCCCTCCCCTCCTCCCGGGTTACTGTCCCGGACACAGAAATCCATCTGCACCACGCCTGGGCTCCAAGCTCTCCCTCCGTCAGGGGGAGAGATACCATCCTAATTCCCAAGGCCCACCGCGTCCCCTCCTCCCTCCTGGCTCTATCATCTCTCCTTTTTCACTGTCTTTTTCTGCACTGACTAATACATTCGGAAGGTACTTCCTCCCTCCATTCTCACTTCAGCCTATGCACTTGGGCTTCCATCCCACTGTCCCACTAAGACGGCTCCTGCCGAGGTCACTAGTGACCTCCTGGTTGTTAAATCCAACCCCATGCTTCACGTCCTGTCTTAAATAACTTCTTGGGAACATTCCGTACCATTCACCACTTTTTAAGGTTTAAGACTCTGTGCTCTTTTGACTTCCATGATGCTATTCTCTGCTACTCTTCCTCTTACCTGTGAAGTCTTTCCCTCCCACTGCCCAGGCTCATCCTTGGATGCTGTGACCTCTCCCTCC